ACGACTATCTGCCGATGGATTATTTCGACAGTCTGTCCGTTTTAAAATACACCTAATTATTAACGCGTTATACTCAATAATTAATTATCTTAATTCGCTACTCAGATAACCGAGGGACAAGAATCGATTATCCTTTTCCGATATAGGAATTAATAGTTTTAACTATATCGAATAATTCAGGGAAATACGTAAATAGTTTATGATCGGAATAAATGCAATACTCGTTTATTGATAAGATAATAAAGGAATCGGGAAATAATAATATTATTTGAACTATAATACACTTGAAACACACTGAAACTAGCTGACTCCTTTTATATCTTTCTAGCTACGTATTTCTAAGCTACAGTTATTGGCTTGTTTCATTTGACACTAAGTAATCGCCTTCGTACTTCCAAAATATTCTACAGTGCGTTGCAATTGAAACATGTGTTCAATCGAATCCCTTGCGTTACCATCAGAGCTGCTAGGAGGAATACGTTACTAAAAATTAAATGTTTGCTCCGAATTACGGGGGTCAATTACTTATGCACAGAATCAACAAAAAAAATTTGTAACAGAAAGCAATACTTTCAAGCTTTAATGTTACGTACGTACCTAATACATGTTTTGAGGTATTAACCATTTTTAATCTCTTGTTGCGCATGAAAAAGAATGTGTGTTGATGTTGTACATACCGTAATACAATATATAAAACTGCTTATTTTATTCTGCCAACTCTTATAAATTATGTGGAAGCCACATATCAAATTTCAGAGATACTGAGAGGAGATAAAATCAATAGGATCAATCTCAGACTCTTCGATTGGTTGTTGAATGTCAGACAGAAGCTTGCTTATTACCCGGTGCTGAATCCACCCAAAATGTCACCTGGTCAAGTAATCTATCGTATCTCTCTCTCATTAAGATATTATGTGAGTACAGTTTGCGGAGGGATTTGGATTTAGAAACCATAATACCTGTATCAGTAAATCAAATGAGTTGTTTGGTAAGTGGAATATAAAGTTGTCTTACTTAATATACATATATTGTTTGTTTACTATTGACTAACCACTGCCAAATCAAAAGCCGTGAGATTTTAAGTATATGGCGTAATTGTTGTCTTCAGATGGCGATATTATTTTGTATGCTGAGATGATGTAATGTTATTGGATGATGTTCCGGATTAGTAGCATCAGTTCACACGCTTATAACATATACGTATAGTCCAAATGTAATTATTGGTTTATTAATATAGTACGTATTACTATGTGTAAATTTGTTTATAACTTATTGATGACACATCGTGAGTGGGTATCTAAGGTAAATATGGGAGTGATGGTGGTGGTGGATGTGGATATGTAGCTGGCGATAGTTTCTGTTTGACATACTTTACATATGCTTTTAAGAAATTTCACTTTATTATTAATGTAAGATTATCCACACTAAACGAGAAGTTGGCGGTTGTTAATGAAATTCATGAACTTCTGCAATAAGGCATAATTGAATTCGATAGTTTAGGCGTGTTCACACTATGCACTAATGGTGTAAATACATACTTTAAAGAAAGACGAATTACGCTTCAATAAATGTTGTATGATTTGAGCATAAAATTGTCATATGTCTTTGCAATAACAATGAACGATATGTTAGTTAATGGGGGAAATTCTGATAAGCTCAAAATGAAGCCAATCTAAACTCTCGTATTGAAACTATAGTCTTAAATACAAGATTACAATTGAAAAGTACTGAGATTTAAGCGCGACGCCGCATGGTTGCTTTCTTGATAGTCTTTTTTTTTTTATTGAATGGTGGTGATCGGAGTAGAGGAAGAGCTATCTGAAGCCAGAGTGGCCGGAGATGGTGGTTCGATGTGAGATAGCGAAGGAATTATAGGTTGATCTTCGACAGGTTTTGTTTGCTTCGTCTTTTTGTACTGAGCATGTCTACGCGAAGGCGAATTAAAATCGCTTTTTTTTTTTTTCATCGTCGTCATCTTCGATCCAAAATTGCGGGTTTCTCTTTACGCTTTCGGTTTTAGCTCCTATTTGAGACACGAAATCGAAATGATGGATTTCACAATACTTTCGTTGATCTCCAATTCTCCGGTGATTATTAACTTCGACCTTTCTTTTGCCGATGAGCTTTGCCCGCAAGTCTTGATATGTTCGTATGATGAGATCAAAAATATTAGTTTCGAACCATTTCAGACCATTTGCATCTTTTCCAACAAATTGTTTAGATGGCTATGTTAAGGTTCCAATAATCTTCCTGTATTTGCGGCTGATCTTTTAAATACCCAAAGCAGATAATGTGAGTGAAATTCTGTGGGAGGATTTGGCATCTGTATGCCGATACCTGAAGATCGTATTACAGTAAATACCAATACTTTTACTCACCTCACATATGTCGTCTTTCGTGATGTTTATATCGTCTTTGGACGGTTTGTATACGGTGCCTGCAGTTGATGGCCTGAACCGTCGGCAGGGCCGTTGCCTTAATTCGTTGGCGGACCATTAGAGTCATTAAGCGGAATGAAAATTTTAATTAATGGTTTTATATGCGTGCGTACGAAGTTGTAAGCAGACGCAAGACATTGAACTATGAGATATTCGTGAGCTGTTGTCTCAGTTATTTGTTTTACTAGACACGTGGTATCGAGGTGTATGAACATTCTTTCCTATAAGGGGTCCCGCTAATTTCTTGATTCGTGTATGTTTGTTGGGGGAATGGTGTTTTGATCGGAATATATACTGTAGAGGGTATTAGTAATTCCTATAAAAATATTTTCACATTAATGGTAACAATAACAAAACAGGTAAGTTTATATTGCGCTACACAATTGTTAGCCAAAATGAGTTTACTTAAAATAGTAGAGTATAAATGAAAAGGCCTTATTGTAAAATTTTTATGTTATTGGTTGTGCGGCTTATTACCAAATGGGATCTGCTGCGCAACGTTCTTATTCTGTAAATAACATTTCTGTTTACTCTCTATTTAAAGAATAAATATTTACATCAGCTAAGCAATATTCCCGGCTCAACGCCACATAGGCTTGGCTGGAGCAAAAAACTGATTATCAAGGAAAACCCCTATTTTTGGCAAAGTTAATCCTTGAGTTTTATGAACAGTTCAATATTACTATGGAGAACATAAACATACGTTACACTCGAATGATCTGCAATCTTACCGATGATCACCAGCTGTTCTCGATCATATCGCGCCATCGTTGGCGTTTGCAAAACAGTTAACACCGGTCTAATTTTAGTTGTCCAAACTTAGGCCAGCTCGAAATCCACGTGATGCCGAGGTTTGTTTCTTGAATTATTTTATTGAGTATATATAAATATCTATCTGAATTTATACTTTGTAGGGTAACCCTTGGCCAACTGTTATTATTGAAACCGCCGCAACTCTTTTTTTCTTCATAGTCATAACAATTTAATTCCTGATCATGAGTATAACAGAGTAATAATCAAACAATACGTTACACACAAATGATCTACAATCTTAACGTGACCAAGAGAGTCACCAGTTGTTCGTCGATTACATTGCACCGTTAGCATTTTAAAATATTCTTTAGTTAAACCACCAGTTCTTCGTTTACTGACATCTTCAAACAATACGGTACACAAATGATCTGCAATCTGACCAAATGTAACGTGACTTAAACTGATCACCAGCGATCATATTGCGCATTGTAATAGTTAATCACCACATGTATATTATTTATTTATTCCAATTTATTCAAAAAACCTATAAAAACTACCACTTTTCATTCTTCCTCTTCCATCAAGAAAAAGAATCATATCTTATATTATTATTCAAAAATCATAATTATATACCTTTCCATTCTTATATTGTTATTCAATCAATTATTCAACAATCACATATACACATAATAATATACTTTTCATCTTACAATTATGATTGCAAACATTACGCTATTGTATACATACTTTCAGTATCGGAAGAAAATCTTAATAATGTTGTCTTGCAAAAAGGCACCGCAATTTCTCGTCGATAGCGATGATGGAATCAAGACAGTTCTTTAAATGTGGCGGTTACAACAAGTATATGTCTTCCAATCGATAAGGAAGATATACCAATCTGCCAACCTATCTTGGAAAAACTTTGAACAACGCAGAATTGTCGGAAATAGGTTACAATCTGAATTTACAAGTGAAACCGTACCTGTCAAAAGATATTTCAACCCTTTCACTATCGCTCTTACACATCCTTCCAATGGGCGATTTCACAATGCATTAACCAAAGCCAAAAAAAATTCGACCATTCATGCAACTGGGATACTTTTTTCCATTAAAAATAATTTTTATTGTGAAAGCATGAAGCAAATATTGATGTTGTCGTGCCTTGGAAGTTAGAAGACACAGAAAAATCTGCATCACAACCTAAATCGACGTTAGAAAAAGAATCGCTCTTATACAACAAAATCAGAGTACACAATCATTACCGACGAAAACTATGTCTTCCGCAAAAAAATCCATATTGCTACAATCTACTGACGATCTTTCAAACAATAACAGTTCAGTTACAAGTGAGCAAGGAAACGTTAACAACGAAGAAATCGCAAAAAATACTGGAAAAAAGAAAAACGAAATAAATAAACACATGTATACTTTGTTTTATAGTCTTATGCATAGTTCTATTAATATTAATACTAATTATAATAAATACGTTCCCACAATTAATATACCTATTCTATTCAATATGGATTTAATTAAATATAAATATTAAATTAACAGCTTTCTTAATCCATTTCATAATATAATCTAATCTTGAATTGTTATTAAATTGAAAAGCAACTTGTGATTTTAAAAGGCCGGCCGATGTAATCGGGCGGCCACACCACGATTATCTAGTTCTATAATATAAAATTGCGAGAAGATGATCCACAAGTAATTTTAAAATCCAAGTTAGTCTAAATAACAAAAATGGAATAGCAAAGAGGCACGAAGTAAATAATCAAGTTAGATGCGGCATCACGCAAATCTGAAAAGGAGGTTAATGTCATCGGCTCTTACACAGTGCTGATTTCGTGCACGATTCTATTTCGGCATTTTGTTAACTCAACCATATTGACACACGTGGAAGCACATCGTATATAATTCAAACCTTTGAATAAAACTCGTATAAATAAGCCCGTTGAATTACAAGTTTATTCAAAAAAGAGTTTGAGTATCTAAATTATAAGAAATGCACGGTGTTAA